TGCCGGTAAGATGAAGCTTTGTAAAGCTGGAAGCATTTTCATTAACTCACAACTTCTTTAATGTAGTGAGGCAGCTGGATTAGGGTTGCACCCCTGAGCCACATGAGTAAATAGGCCACAACGTCATTCAGAATGTGGCTGTTGCTTCAAAGAGATATTTCCCAGATGACTTCATTGCTAGGCATGAATCCAAGAGCAGGCTTCAGATTCCCTTTTTCATAACAACATGTACAAGATCATCCAGGAGTTTCCATGTGCTGTTTCAAGGTGCGATTGTGCAATTCTGAGTGTTTAGCTGCCAATAACTTCTTCAGCTTAAAGCTGGACACAAAATCTTTAGAGTCTTCTTCTGTTCAGTGCAAATTAACTCTACAAGTTGTGTAAGAAGTTGTAATGGAATTTTATATATAAAAATATATATATTGAGACAAACGGAAAAGTGTTGCAGTTACTCCTTTGGACTGGAAAATACTAACATTATCTTACAAAAACAGCGATACAATTCCGGAGTAATTTTCAATTTTTTGAATAATGTTTATTTTTCTCTAACCTGATTTCTACCTTCTCTGACTAACATGATAATGCTGAACTTGTCATATTACACTCTTTTGCCATGGTTACATGCAATGACAAACAGAAACATCAATCCCCTGTGGGACAAAAAAAAACCCCACAAACCAACAAACAAAAACCAAACAAAACAAAACAGAAAAAGTCATAGCCAGGAACAAAATCCTCACTGAAACACAAATAGCCTTAGTAATAGGAACAAATAATTATTGTCCATAACTCTCAATTTATTAAAGCCCTTTTCCAGTTTAATGTTAAATATGAAATTGCCTATATTAAGGGCATTGCACCTCTTCTGAATCTTTGAACTACCTTTGTTGGGATTTTCAATTTCTTTGTTTCCTAAACTGTAAAGTTTAGAGTTCCTATACTGAGAATCACTACATTTGTAAAAAAAAGAATGAACTTAACATTTTCTTAGTAAAGCAATTTCAGGGGGGAAATATGCTGAGTCAGTATGAAAAGTGTAACCCATGATCACATGGATAATCTACAACAACTTGTTAAAAGAAGTGCCATACCCACATAAATTCATAGAAGTATTTTCATAAACGTATTTTCATAAAAGTGGCCAAGAAAATGTGTTTTCTAACTAAAATGTAAATTTTTATTTTGATCCTAAAAACTACTTCCTAAGTAGTTAACCTTCTACTTTGATTGTATAGTTAGTTTTGCACAAATTACACCTGGAATTGTCTTTGGGAGATACTGTATTCACAGAATATCCTCAGAAATTGTCAGGGAATATTTGACTGGGTAGTAACTGTGAACCAAAAACTGCATCATGTTTGAAGTTCTGAGAAAGTATCATTAAATAAAGTAAGTATCTTGTAGGAAAAGGACAGGGAAACCAGCACTAGTTCTGGGTGCTTTGATTATCTGAAACAAAAAGAGGTAACAGCATAAAGAGAGCACACACAGGAGCCAAGCTGAAAGAGCAAATGCACAACAGAGGCTGAAGTGCACCAGAACATATAGAAGCTTCAGGCTAAATGGGTGGTAGTTAAACGAAGCAGTTAGATAACATTTTCGTCTATTACAGATTCATGACTACAGTATAGTACAGATAACAAGGTTATCTTGTACTTGTTAAAGAATCTTCAGGAATCACATTTAAGATTTTTATGGAATAATAGAAAATAATTGGAAATCTTGCTTTCAAAGACATGGAATGTATCCTTAACATACATCTACCTTACTCTCTGAGAATGTCCTGCCTGTAAAAAAAAAGCCAAATTCTGCTCTGAATCTTTCTTCTTCAATTCCAGCATGGATTCTGGAAGCAAGTAAAATGAACCCTAACAAGAAAAGCACTTTTCTATTGGTTTAGTTGCGCTGGATCTTTCACTTTTCCTTCATATAACTAGAAGTGTATCCTCAGCACCTTGAATGTGCAAAATGGAAAAATGTGTATGTGGAAATTTGATATAAACAAACCAAAATAGCCAAGTGCCTATAAATATATACATCATTTACTACAAAGAGACACAAAAACCATTGCTGTTTTGGGCAGTGGTAACGTTTTATCATCAGAAAGGCACCCCTCAGGGTAGTTACCAGTTACATTGTGACAAGAATAAGCCTATTCTTAAGGTTTCAGCCAGATTCCATTATAAAGTCACACTTCGATCACTTCTGTTTTGGAGAAAGGAAATGGGCCAAAAATCAAAGAAAATTCACTTAAGGGAAAAAGAGAACATTTTTTTCCCCTCCAACATGGAAAATTACATAAACATCTATTCTTAGGAAGATTACAGAAAAAAGCTGACACAAAAAGAGAAATATGGGGTTCACTTAGGATCCTGGTAACATGAAAATTGCTGTGTTGCTATGTGTACTACAAATGTACCCCCTGTTTGACCATTATGTTATCAAAATTTTAAATCATTCTTTTGAAGGAAAAAGAACAACCATGATTCTTTGATTTCATCAAATCATAGAATCATAGGACAGTCTGGGTTGGTTAGAAGGGACCTTCAAAGGTCATCTAGCCAAACACCCTGCAATAAGCAGGGACATCTTTGACTAGATCAGGTTGCCCAGAACCACATCCAGCCTGGCCTTGAATGTCTCCAGGGATAGTGCATTCACTGCCTCTCTGGGCAACCTGTGCCAGTATTGGACCACTCTGATTGTAAAGAATTTTTTCCTCACATCCAGCCTGAATCTCCACTTCTAGTTTAAAAGCACAACCCCTCGTCCTATCGCAACAGATCCTGCTAAAATGTCTCCCCATCTTTCTTATAAGCCCCTTTTAAGAACACAATAGGGCCGTAATAAGGTCTCCCTGGAGCCTTCTCTTCTCCAGGCTGCACAATCCCAACTCTCTCAGCCTTTCCTCATAGGAGAGGTGTTCCAGCCCTCTGATCACTTTAGTGGCCCTACTTGAAGTGATATAGTCAAGAAAAATACAAGATCAAATAGCTGACAGTTCTACATAATAATTTTCTGTTGATTCAAATTTTTAACATTCGTTGGGTTTTTGTTGTGGGTTATTTTTGCGTGGTTTTGTTGTGGTTTTTTTTTTTTTTAACATATGCTGTAGTACATTACCATAGAATCATAGAATAGTTTGGGTTGGAAGGGACCTTCAAAGGTCATCTAGCTCAACCTCCTGCAATAAGCAAGGACATCACTGCAGCTTCCTGTTAGTATTTAGACAGGAAGTTGAGGAGACCCTGCAATGTCAGAACCCACACCGAACAAGAGCAGAACTGGAATGACACTTGGACATACATTAGTCTACATAAAAGTAAAGACTTGTTTGGACCAAGAGTCTTTCTGTTAGACTGAGAACAGACTTTCTTTGGATAGTGTCATGGCTTTCTTTGGATAGTGTCACAGCAACTAAGTACCATGCAGAAACTCACTCGCTCTCCCCAACCCCCTGATGGGATAGAGAAGATTATCAAAGAAAAAGATAAGACTTGTGAGTTGAGATAAGAACAGTTTAATAATTGAAATAAAGTAAATATAATAACAACAATAATAGGGTACAGAGAGAGAGGAATAAAACTCAAGAAACCCAAAACACAATAAAAATGCTCACCACCTATTGACTGATACCCAGCCCAGCACCAAGCAGCGATCAGCAGCTCCCCCTGGTTTCCATACAGAGCATGGCATTCTGTGGTATGGAATAAATACCCATTGGCTAGTTTGGGTCAGGGTGTCCTGTTCCTGCTTCCTCCAGCTTGTTGTACCCCTCCTTACTGGCAGAGCATGAGAGACTGAAAAGTCCTTGATTTATAGTAAGTAAAAAGTGCTAAACTACAACTAAAACATCAGAGTTATCAGTGTTATACTAAACCCAAAACACTCCACTGTACCAGCTACTGGGAAGAAAATTAACCCTATCCCAGCTAAAACCAGGACAGATAGGAATTCCCATCCCTTTTATTTACTCCAGAAGCAGTTGATGCTGCTGTTTCTACAGTTACCACCAGCCTATCACCATTCTCTTTATTCTGTTTTTTTCTTCTGCATAGCTGTGCTGACACATATTCACAAGGTACAATGAGGCATGTGAGGGACGTTTCTTTTTTCTCTAGAAGACCACAAACCAAAGGACATTTTTCAGTGAATGAATAATTCATAGCTTCCACTTCCTCTTAGAACAGAAGGTTGCAAACACAACAGCAGGGAATACCAGTATAGGAAACTGAGTCCCAGCTTTTGACACAATTTTTATTTTTATATTAAGAAATTCAAATCATATGAGAATTTTATCCAGAACATAGTGGAATCTTACTGAATTATCCTCCTAGTTTAGGCAAGTAATACCCAATTACTCAGTTTATGCTGAGTTATTCTGATTCCTGTTATTTCCTCCTCCTGTTAGCAAACCATTTTCTAACTTATTCTTTTGGAATATGTATTTCCTGTGAACTAATGTCATTACATTAATCGAAATAATGTGGAATTACATTTTAACTGGAGTAAGAAAACATAAGCAAGTCTTCTCTTTTTACTGTGCAAAAATTCCATTATTATTCCACCATATTTCCAGAGTATTTAACATTTCAATACATCCAGCAGATAGGATCATTACTCATTGCCTTTGCTGTTGCTCAAAAGAAGCTTGGGCTATTAATTTTCATTTTTCTACTACTGTAAGCATGCAACCTGATGTTAAATTCCTTTGCACTCAAAATTTCCATCCATTTACCAATCCATTAAAAGAAAACAGAGCATCAAGCAGAAAAGGAACACTGGTCTGCTTTCTAGAAAAACATCAAATAACTCAGAAAAAGAATCAATTGGTCGCTATTTAAGAAACAGGAATTTTTAACCTGCAAAACAGACATCTACTAAGATTTTCTCTATTATTTCATTTAGCTAATACATGTCTCTGCAGTTCTCAAATGAAAAGCAAGATAGAACACACTGCGTTTAACGTAGGAGTACAAAACAACTTCGTATTTTCTTACCTTTGCATTATAGGGAATATAATGCTTTGATAAGGCTTCAGGGGCGTGCATCCATGTTTTGTCTACAGAAAAGCAAAATAAAAGAGGCACTGAATAGGTTATTCACTTGTTAATTATTATAGCATCTATACAGAAAACATCAAGAACTCTCCTTTTACCCAGAGAAGTACCAGTCTGAAGCAGTTATTGGGGCATGAGGGAAATGCAGCGTACCTCACAACTTCCAAAACATTACATGAAAGAACCTGGTTACTTCTCTTAAGGACATTTTAACCAACAAGATTTACCACAGGAATGCCAACTCCTCTCCCCCCCTCCAGTGTATTTGTTGGTCTAAGGTTGTTTGACGTTTCTGCCTCAGATCAGTATTTCCTGCATCCTGATGTTGTTTAAAGCACTGAGTATCACACTTCTAATGATTGGATTTTGATGAATTATGTACTTTTTGATGGATTATCAAGACATTAACAGGAGAAAGGAAATTATTTTGGGAAAAATATCAGAGCAACAACTGCTAGGAAAAAACCCTAATCCTTCAACGGGAGAACAGAACCAAGTCATACTGTGGTAACTCTTTCAGAAGTTTAGATCTTCTTTAGTATTTGCTTATATATCCTAAACGAATGTGCATATTTTCCTTTAATGATTGTCACATCACAAGACTGCACTATTGTATCACTTTTCCCATTGCATGCTTCATTTGGTGACATGATTCTATGATTATTTTTAAATACATCTTCCCACTTTGTTTTTAATGGTCATTTAAGTTCTACATAATTTAAGGTGCAATTCCAAATGTTAGAAAACACTTAATTTTTATTTACAAACCTCATTTAGAAAGTTTTCTCATTTGAAAGAATTTAAGAAAAAAAGATGCTCCAAAATACTAAATCGTATTACCAACCTCTTGAAAGATTCTGTAGCACTCTGTAGTACTTTATACTCCACACATTAAATATTTAGTCTTTTCTACTATGAGTATTTTCTACTACTCCCATTTTAACTAGCATGAATTAAAGTTACAAATCTGTAACTTTATTCAAATAAGAAAGAATAATAGCTTAAAGCAAAATTCTACCCTTGGGTATTCACAGACAATTCCCCTTGCCTTTAATGGGAGTTGAAGTTACAGCAATTACTAAATTTTTTGTTACACATAAACACAATAAAATCATGTTCACTTGAAGCTGCTCAAGAGCAAAAAGTGTGACATTTATTGACAATAAACCAGTAACTAAACATTTTTGAATATACAAAAGCAAAAAACACTGCTAAACAAGATATTTGCCATAGTCACCACAGTACCAGGTTCAAAACTGCACAGCGGGAGGATATTTTTTTTTCTTTAAGCAGATTTCAGTCTAGATTACAGTAATGTTCAGCTCCACTACTGAAAAATGATATTATCACTTTTTAATTAAGCAAGCACGATTTGTCCATTCAGCAGCACCCAGGAATACAATTATGCACTGAAGTGGCTCTTCCTTTCAGTTGTTGTTCATGAGTGAATACCGGAACCAAGATCTACACTCGCTTCCCAGAATATTTTAAGACTTGAAACTTGGTCTCTATTTTCAGTACAATATCAAAAGCTGATGTTATCTACAGATAAAAAATTACAATCAATATGAATTAGGAATGTTAGAATAAAGCCTGACAACCTAAAAGATAATTCTAACCATTGTTCTTTAGGTTAGTGCACTGCTGAAGGCCAGACAAGCAGACTGGTGACTGGCCTTAATGGCAAGAGGCACAGAGGAAGCTGGCACACACGGCAGGATTATTGCCTGCTCCATCATGCTTACTACAGCAGAGCAAAGACCTGCACAGCACAAATTGCAGCTCTGAACTGTGCATTCACAGCACTAATGTCAATGTTTTATTTACCCATTTCCTACATGCTAACTGTTCACTAGCTTCATCAAGTATACTGTCATATTTATAAATTCATAAAGGAAAATCTAGTAAAAAATAAAACACTGAACCTCTAAAAAAAAAATCAACACCAAAACCATTCCTCCATTCATTTCATGCCTAGTACTAGCACAAACAAATGACAGGGCTGTAGCTTCTAAAGCAATTTTACAGGAAGACAACTGATTACACAGGTACCAGTAAAAATAACTGCTCTTTGCAAGTGCTTCCTCCTTCCTTCTTCCCATTCCCAAATAGGGCAAGTTCAAACCTGAAAAAAAAGGTGATTTTATTTTGAAGCCAAGTTTGAAACGCTGGTCTTAATTAAACAGCTGGTAATCTTCCCAATGTAACTACTGAGTAGCTGGAAATCTTTCAAATATTATTACTAGGTACAAAGCTTCACTTCAAATGTTTTTGTGAAATCATCCACTTGCCTACCAACCTCAATCTGCAACGTTACAGGGATTGCAGCAAACACTTTACACTGCTAGGAAAGTGTTTAAGTGTTGGTACCCCTATTTAGGGGGAAGATTTAGAAATATGGATGTGTTCTCTCAACTCAAAAGGAAATCAGTAACTTAGCAGAGTACCAAAGAGATGCCTGGATTCTACAAGTCTTGTGCCATTGATTAGAACAGTGAGTTGGCATGCTACATTTCCAATATCCAGATGTAGATCTGCACACACTGTGACATAGATACTGAAGTTTTCCATTGACATTGGAAGCCCATTTCCTGGAGGCAGGTAATAATTACAGAATGGTGGCACTTTTGAAAGAACTGTTAATGCTAAACAAAATCTACAATAGAAAAATTCACATTGATAGCACAGATATGCAAAAAATCTCTCAAGTTACTATGGGGAAGTTTGTTACTTGCATTTCCTCCTGAATTCTAAGTTCTGATTTTGGATTTGTGTCATTTTCAGTAGTTGTCTGAAATACTGATTAGAGTTAGTTTGATTTCACAGCAGTTGAGCAATACCAAATTCCAGACATTTTTTATCCAATAAACTAGAAAAATATGAAAAACAGGAATTCAGTTAAAACTGTTTAAAAGTATTTAAAAAAGTATTCACATAAGTAGCCGGTGTAGATGTGGTTTGTGGTCTGCACGATCCCTCACTTTTTAAATTCATTTTAAACAGGTTTTCACAGCTTAGTACTTAATTATTCATTCTGAAGCAACAAACAAAATATGAAACCCTACAATGAAAATCACAGTTGATATCATTATTTTATTAGTTATAGAGCAGCAAGAGTGCTAGACACTTCATAAATAAATAAAACACTAAGTCCTGAAGGACTAAAAGCCAAGATAAAACCAAAACGGACAACTGCATGCATCTAACATAACAGTAATAGAAAGTGAAAAGAGACTCATGCTATCACACCAGGTGAAAACTACAGTTATTTTAGATCTTGTCTGAAAGTCTTAATCTAGGTTCCCTTCACACTTACTTTAAAGTTTAAGTGCCTGGTTATTTTTGTAGATTCAGGAGTTTGAGCCATCCAGAATCCATTAAAACCTAAGTAGAGTTCAGCTTCAATAAGATATGAGAGATTCTACAACGTAATAGCCTAAGTATGAGTTGGTTTTGCCAAACATACTGGCACTGCGCGGAGAAAAGATGGGTAAAAGGATCACTGCTCAGGATTCAAGAGCACAGATTAAGCCACAGCGCTGATTAAAGACAGTAATCCTGTAACCTCTCCTCAACACCTCTTCACATGCATGGCATACTAACTGTGCAGCATAGTGGGCTTTTTGAGAGCCCCTGTAGCTGCAGCACAGCATCTCAGCCAGTTTTTAAGAGAATTTGGCTTGGGTGAGAGCTTCTCAGGTGTAGCTCGCTGCCCACATAGAGTAGCCTGCTAAGAGCAGTGAAAAAAACTGCGCAAAATTAGCATTCTGAAGACCCAAGGTTTGACAGACAGAATTGCAAGAGAGGAGGAGGCAAGGGGATGGGCACTTTCATGGTCAGAGGATTAACTGTGCTCAGTATTGAGACTTCACCCCTCTCTAGACTCCCTTGAATCACCCCTTCCATTCTAAAAGAAAGATTCACTACAACTGCTAAGTCATCGCACACTCTGGGAGCACCGGTGTGAGTCATTTCAGAGGCCTCAGCAGTGCTGGGAGAGCCAGGGAAGAGAAACGTGCTGACAAATCACACGCTGAAGTCAACAGACTCAGGAACTTCATAAAGTACCCAGAAAAACTGTGATGCACTTAGAGGAGGATGACACTGGGTTAGATAAAACCACAGCTGACCACATCTCAAAAAAGGGAAAGCATTAACAGTGCCAAGAAATTGTTCCCTCTTTGAGATTAATTTCCCCACACATTACTGCCCACAGCTATAGAACAGATTTAGTAAAGAGGCAGTGATGTACTATTTTCTATAAATGGCAAAACAACTCTCAACAGTGCAAGTTTAGTTAACTGCCTCCCTAAATTCTACTCACATTCTTTTTAGTTATTTTAGTGCCACAATGAAACTTCTGAAACTGAAATGAAACAATGAAAAGTCATTTCTTTAAGGTAAAAACTAACACCTTTATTCTTTACTGACACAAAGTACCTCTGACATTAATGGATGTCTTTTCTCCCTGCTATCGAAAGATCTTATGTGACAATCAGCCTAGTAACAGTCTCCTGAAGGGGAGAGTACCCCATGAGATCAGTGCTACCTGTAGGTACTGATGCCTCAGGAACAAATGGCTTATTTGTTCAGTGTGTGTAAGTATGTATCTACATCTTTCATTTTTTCTAGATTGTCTAATTCTGTATAAACCAAGAAAACCGTCACAATGCGGAATCTATCAAATAATTTCCTTTATCCTGCACTACAACAGAAACAGGCAGGTACTTCCAAACCTCAATTACGCTAAGTCAGACAAGGGAGAATCTATCTTCTTGACTGCTGCAGGCAATGAATGAATCGATACACCAAGCCATGAGACTTAATGTTACCAAAGTTTTCAGCTGAATACCTAAACATTATTAACAAACATAAATCTACCCATATTCTTCCGTAATACAGCTATAGTATTTGTTCCAATCACCTTCTAGAGGAATGACTGAGTACAATCTGTGTGTCTAAATAGCAGTAGTTTATTAAAGTTATTGCTATGTTACTATGA